CTCCGGCTGTGGTGGAACTACGAATCCCATAAGGCATTGCAGGACAGACAGCCACAGGCATGACTCCCAGAGGCAGATGCATGGTGGGATTTGTCATTTCACTACAGCTGGAGGGCCGAAGGTTGGCTACCCCTTCCCTAGAGGATATCTGTTGTCATCATCTCCATCCTGCACACGGTCGAATTCCTAAACATGGATTGCTGGTACAGTTGGTGTATTGCCATTTTTAAGGCCCAACTGAATGTTAAATTTAAATGAGCTCGATGCATTCCAGATGCCTCACAACAAAAGATGATCAAAGTCTTACAGTTGGTTTTCTTTAAGGGCTCATCCAGACGGGTGTACACATGCATACAACATGCACGCTCATGCAGAGACCTGCTACTAGGAGGGACAGGTGGTGCGTGTAATTGCATGCAGCTGCCTGTAGCTCTCTATGGGAGAACCGGCTGCATGCAGTCACGTGCCAACCCGAACCTGCACACACGTGCAGGTCAAAATGCCCGCACTTGGGCGCAGAGAGTGCGGGCAACCAGACCTACATGAATGTACAGGTTCGGGTCTGCGTGTAGCGACGTGCAGCCAGGGCCGGTGCTAGGATTCTTGCCTGCACAGGCAAGGTGCATTTTTGCGCCCCCCATGACTTGCCTGGCGGTAGCGCTGGGCCTGCGTGCAGCCGCGTCCTCCCATAGAGAGGTACAGGCGGCTGCGTGCAATTACACACAGCACCTGTCCCTCCTAATAGCAGGTCTCTGCACGGACGCACAGTACAGATGTGCACCCCCGGGTGAATGAGACCTAAAAGACAGCTACAGCCTGAGTAGTAAAGCTGTCCCCTGCCAGCATGCTGCAGAAAAAAACCTTTGTTCTGTGTGGAAGCAGTGGTCTCTCTGCCAAGGTCCAACACGCTCACCCTGCTGAGTCAGAACTATAGCTCTGCAATAAGCAAACCTCATGCTCCCTCCTGATTGGAGAGCTCTAGCTCTGACTTAGCAGGGGGTGTGTCAGACCTCTGCAAAGGGAGCACTGCTTCCAACCAGAAAGCAAGGTCTATAGCATGCTGGCGGGGCACGGGCCTTTCTACTCAGGTTGTGGCTGCTCACTCAACCTCAAAGAAACTGTCACACGTCGGCTCAATAGATCGGGAAGTGAGTGAACACATACGGTCACTCGCTCACTTCTCGATCATCTCCCTGCAGAGAGAGGTGACTGTCACTCACGGCTCCCTGCAGGGATTCCCCCCCTCCCCGCTCCAATCCTCCAGCGCTGACTGACGGAATGGATGGGGGTGGGGGCGGGTACAGCTAGCTCCGCCTCTAGATAGGCAGAACCAGCTGTCAATCACGCAGCTGCGTGTATCTCGACAGTATTGTCGGGATCGTGCCGGCTGCGGCGGTCTCAGTATACCGCAAGCTGTAGCTCTCTGTATACTGAGCTTTGTGTCACGGGAAGACACTACAGTAGTTTGTGTCCTCCCGTGACCCTGAGGAGAACTATGGGGAAAAACACTGACCCCATGGTTCTCCTTTAAGAAAAAAAACAAACTTTAAGACTCGGAATGCCTTCGGCTAGGACTGAGACTTCACATTTTGTTTTCTTAAAGTTTGGTTTTTGAGCTAACCTCAAGAAATATGAAATACCGTATTTGCCGGCGTATAAGGCGACTGGGTGTATAAGACGACCCCCTAATTTTCCACTTAAAACATAGGTTTTGGGCTATACTCGTCATATAAGACTCCCCCACTTCCGAGGCAACACCATTTAAAAACATCATGGATGGATGTGCGGTAATACTGAATGTACGGTACCTTCGGCTACATACAGTATACCGCACTGAGCCAATCACGGCGAGCGATGTATTCTATTAATGAATACAAAGCCTGCTTGGATTGGCAGAGGTTGTGTACATCACTCGCCGTGCTTGGCTCAGCTAATGTATGTAGCCGAAGCTTCCGTACATACAGTATTACCGCACATCCAGCGGGCTGACAGATTAGGGATGTTCGTTTGGTCACTTTCTTAATATTATGATTCATGAGATGATGAGGGAGCATGACGCCGGCTTCCCGGCCAATCAGAATGCCGGGCGCTGCATCATTGCACGACGCCCGGCTTCCAGATTTGCTAGCTTCCCGACCAATCGGGAAGCCGGGCAGCTCGACATTGCACGCTACCCGGCTGCCTGATTGGCCGGGAAGTCGGCTCCATGCTCTCTCATCACAAGTGACGAGAGAGCATGGAGCCGTTTCCTGGCCAATCAGGAAACCGGGCAGCGTGTAATGATGCGCTGCCCGGCTTCCTGATACAGGAAGTACTCGTGCTCGTTATCGGAGCATTTTGGCGAGTATGAGTACTCACCCAAATACCCGGCATCGGCACCGATACTAGTATCGGTATCGGTGCATCCCTATTGTATACCACGCGTATAAGACGACCTACGATTTTCGGGGGATGTTTTTAAGTATAAAAAGTAGTCTTATACTCCAGCAAATACGGTACATCGGATTCATTTCTTTTTAATGTGCGGAGGATTACAAAATTCCTGACGGTAAATTATCGATTGGCATCAAAACCTTCATCAGCGCGATGATTTATAGAGAGCTATCGTGCCAACATTTTTTGACACCGGAATGTTACTTTCTAGGAGAAAACACGGCAGCACAATACTGATTGATGGACTATACAGAAAATACAGAATATATGGAGGATATCCGCAATATACATGGAGGGATACACTACGAATGTTAGTTTAAGGGGAACTCTGGAAAGATTGCCATCCTGTTCATCTGCCGATACATTGTAGCCAGATCCGGATTTTTATCACCCAACCCAAGTCTGTTGGCACACGGTTTTGGAGGGCTTGCTCACATGGGTGCGCACATCCATATGGCACGCAGGCCCGTAGAGAGACACTCCTGGGAGGGATGGGTGCTGCGTGTAATCAGGGCCGGATTTACTCTTTCTGCTCTCCCAAGGCCAGGTTCCTCATTGCGCCCCCCTACCCGGCAACATGTGATCCAGGCAACATTGCCGGGATCACTTGTACAAAACAAGCGGCGGCTTCTCCGCTGTACATTTAGCCATGCTTGCCCAAAGCAGGGCTATATGTAGAGAACAACTACCCGCCCGGTGCCCAGAACTGCATGTCCCGGGCATCAGGAGATAGGAATTCCACACCCCTGCTGCCCCTCTACTCCCTGCTGCCCCAAGGCCGGGCCTTGGTTGGCCTTGTGGGAAGTCCGGCCCCGCGTGTAATTGCATGTATTCGTCTGTACCACCCTATGGGATGATACGCAGTTACACAGCAGCCCAAACCTGCAGATCCATGTGGATTTGGGTGCACCTGTTCCTCTCTATGACTGGACACGTCTGAATGCAGTAACACAGAGACACGAACGTGCACATTCATGTGGGTCCGGGTGCCCGCACATGGACGCACATCATGCCCAAGTGCGGGCACACGGACCCGCATGGATGTGCGGGTTCGTGTCTCTGTGTAACTGCATGCAGGCGTGTCCGCCCATAAGGAGGAACAGGTGGATGCACGCAATTACATGCAGCACCTGCCCCTCCCCAGTGCAGGTCTCTGCATGTGCATGCACTGCATAGGGATGTGCACACCCATGTGAATGAGCCATTAAGGATTGGATTAAAGGTGCTGGAACCCTGATGTCTTGTCATATATTTTTATTAGATTGGTATCATCCAATAGTGTGATGATGCTGTGACTATAGGGGACCTACTGTATATAGTGGGTAGGTATGGGGGGCTGGGCACCAATATTCCTTCAAACAGCAAAAACACTATTAAAGCCTATTGGCTTCAACTCAGCCACTCACCACCCTGTCCCCCTTCCCCATTGCCCCTACACCCCCAAGCAGCTTTTGCATAATCACTTCATTAGGAAGGTAAGTATATGTAAGCCCTAAACAAATTACATCTCCTATTTGGCCTGTCATATATACTATTGGAAGCATTTTGTTGCAAAAAAAACCCAAAACTATTAAAACCACCAAAAATTCAGAGTTGCCCTGTGCACACTCA